TTATCAAAAAAACGTTGCGAAATTTTTTTTTTTAAAATAAATTAATTAATAACAACATTCGCAACATTTTCTATTAAGTTATTGGAAAAAAACGTTGTGAAACATTTTTTTTTTTAAATAAATTAGTTAATAAAAACGTTTTGCAACGTTTTTATTAAATTATCAAAAAAAATGTTGCAAAACGTTTTTTTTCAAAATAAATTAATTAATAAAAATGTCATTTTTTTTTAATTAAATTAACTAATAAAAAACATTTTGCAACGTTTTCTATTAAGTTATGAAAAAAAATGTTGCGAAACATTTTTTTTTAAATAAATTAACAAATAAAAACATTTCGCAATATTTTTATTAAATTATCAAAAAAAAAACGTTGCGAAATGTTTTTTTTAAATAAATTAACCAATAAAAACATTTCACAACGTTTTTATTAAATTGTTAAAAAAAATGGTTCATGACATTTTTATCAACATCACGAAACGTTCGGTAAATCAGTTCAGTAAATTTACGAAATAATCAGTAAAATTTACTGAAACTGATACCGAAAATATCAGTTTGGTAAATCAGTTTAGTAAATCGCAAAACTGATACCGAACTGAAGTTACCAAAACTGATCAGTTAAATTTACTGAAAGGTTCAGTTCAGTAAATCAGAATACTGAACCCGTTCCGATACCGAAACTGATCAGTTCAGTTCAGTAATTACTGAAACCGATCGGAGCCCTACTTATTATTTAGTTAAGTGATCATCAATCAGATGATTTTTTGGTATTACAAAACAATTTTGAGTAATAAAAATTGTGAAAATCAATTCAATAACTCTTTTTAATGCAGAGTAGACAAATCAGCCTATATGTCTTATTCTATTTCTAATTTTAATTCTAGCTTAATTATAATCCTAATTTTCTTATTTAACTTCAACTTTAATTTTAAATTTCCTTATTAGTAAAATAATTGTTAATGAAATATTTGTCTGTAAAATAATCTTATTGGTAAAATATTTGTTAGTAAGATAATTGTTAATAAAATAATTGTTAATAAAATGAATATAACTTGGATTAACTAGTATATTTTTATTATTTATATAAAATTTTTTATTATATGTATAAGTATAACAAATACTATGAGAAAATAATTTATACAAAAAATATTAATTTAGATTTTCAAATATAAATAAATATAATTATATATGTAAAAATTTGTAAAAAAAGGTTATCAGTTAATGGTAAAGTTCCGAACAGTTCGGGCTAAACCGGGGAACTGATCCGAAACCGGCTCAAAATTCGGTTCAGTTCGGTTCGGGTATTAGAACTGAAAAACTGGCAGTTCGGTTCAGTTTAATCTGATTTTTTATAAAAATGCGAAAAATCGAATAGCCGGCCATCTAGTGATCATACAAAGTCGAACCATATATCATTGGATTCGTCTCGACGAGACGCATCAAATGGAGATAAGATCATGTCTCTAGCATCGATAGATCACATGTTAATCCACGCTAAATGATTTATAAATAAGTATTAGTTATTTACTGATCTAGTAGTATATAAATGGGTTATCATCTGAAGGATGATGTCCCATTTATATACTAAACTAGATTAGTAAATAACTTTATTATCATCCTAGATATACATCAGAAAATTTGTTTAGGCGTAATTTAGTGTAATGTTTCGAAGGTGGTGTAAAATTTCGAAATATTACACTAAAAACGTAATATTACAAAAGTTAAGCTCTTAAATTTGAATAATTATAGTAATTTAAGAATATCTCGCTATCTACTGATCCAATCAAGACGATCTATAGCTCATTGGAATCAGCTCATCAAGACGGATCGAATGGTAGTAAAATCGTATCTTTACGTTCGATAGATGATTTTCTATTAATTTAAAACTTTACTGCATACTATAGAGCGTTCTATCAACTGTAGAAATGCGATTTTACTACCATTCGATCCGTCTTGATGAGCTGATTCCAATGAGCTATAGATCGTCTTGATTGGATCAGTAGATAGCGAGATATTCTTAAATTACTATAATTATTCAAATTTAAGAGCATAAACTTTTGTAATATTACGTTTTTAGTGTAATATTTCGAAATTTTACACCACCTTCGAAATATTACACTAAATTACGCCTAAACAAATTTCCTGATGTACTAATTGGTCTGCCAGTTTATAACTGGCGGAAAAAATCCTAAATACCAATTAGTAGCCAGGTGATAATTGGAATTAGCAAGCTATCTATCAGTGCTAGAGACATGATCTTAACACCATTCGACGCGTCTCAGTGAGACAAATCCAATGAATATGAATTCATTTGTATATGACCACTGGATGGCAAATAATATCAAGTTTCACATTTTTTTAAAATTTTCGAGCATTAAAAATTAAAAATTCCGATACATGAATTTATTCGTCGTCCAATGGCCGTACAAATATGAATTAGGATTCATTGGATTCGTCTCGATGAGACGAGTCGAATGGTGGTGAGATCATATCTCTAGCATCGATAGATAGCTTGCTAATGCCAATTTTTTATAAATCATTTAGCGTGAATTAACTTATGATCTATTGATGCTAGAGACATGATCTCACCACCATTCAACTCTTCTCATTGAGAAGAATCCAATAAGTTTTATTTCATATTTGTACGACTATTGGACGACGAATAAATTTATGTATCAGAATTTTTAATTTTTAACGCTCGAAAATTTTAAAAAAATGTGAAACTAGATATTATTCGCCATCCAGTGGTTGTACACGAACGAATTCATATTCATTGGATTCGTCTCACTGAGACGCGTCAAATGGTGCTAAGATCATATCTCTAGCACCGATAGGTAGCTTGCCAATTTCAATTATTTATAAATCATTTAGCGTGGGTTAACATGTGATCTATCGATTCTAGAGACATGATCTTACTGCCATTTGACGCGTCTTATCGAGACGAATCCAATGATATATGGCTCGACTTTGCACGATCACTAGATGGCCGGCTATTCGATTTTTCGCATTTTTATAAAAATCGGATTAAACCGAACCGAACTACCAGTTTTTCGGTTTGGTTCTTACGGATTTCGGCTCTAATCCAAACTGTCTATAATCCGGACCAAACCGACCTGTTCGGAGCTTTAGTTAGTGGTTATGTCATTTCTCTTATAATTACTAATAAATAGTAATTTTTTGTATTTATATTAATATAAATTTTCTTAAGTTATATATTATAAAAACTTTATATATTTTTGTTCTTTAGAAACTATTTTACTTATTTAAATACCTTTTTTTTAAATATAATACTTATATAAAAAATTTATGTTAAGCTAACTTTTATAATTTCAACTTTTAAATGCAACTTATTGGTAAAAGGTAAGTATTACTTTTAAATATATAAATATATCAGTCACTGGAAATGTCACATACAGATCATTTTCATATTAAATGAATTTTGTGTAACATTAATCAGATTACTTTATTTATCGCCGTTTTCATAATTATGCGATCTACATCACATGACAATGTATTACAAAATGTTGCGAATTTCACAATTTTTTGCGAACTCCTTTTAAAATTTAAAACAAATATTGCGAATTCCTTTTATATTTTTAGACTATAAGACTTTTAGTTACTAAAGTCTAAGTTTTATAACTATATAAGTATTTTTTTCCTTCGAATTCTCAAAAATACTAACCCTTACTAAAACGGATTTAGCAAATTCACAAAAAACTCTATAAAATGTAAGTATTTTAGTTATTCACGTCTAAGTTTTCAAGTATACTAATTCTTACTAAAACAATTTTAGACCAAGATGGTAAAAAGTTTAAGCGAAGATTTAAGGTGGCGTATTATTTATTGTCAGGCTGAAGGCTTTAAACAAAATGAAATTGCTAAAAGAATGTATGTTAGAGAGGCTACTGTCAATAAAGTCTGTAGGATTTTTAAAAAATGGGGATGTGTAAAGGACCCATTTATTTGTAGAGTGGGAAGAAGAAAAATTTTTACAACACAAGATATGTCGGTAAGAAATTTAGATGGTTACTCTTTTGTGATTTATTATTTTATAATAATTATTTAACAAAGTTTACAAATTTATAGGCGTTAAAAAGTTTGGTTAAAGATAAAATAGATTGGTATCTTGATGAGTTGGTACATGAAATGGAACAGAGAACAGGAAAATTAGTTTCTGTGCCAACATTATGGCATTCTCTTCAATTTTGCGGTATAACTAGAAAGAAAATACAAAAAGCAGCTAAAGAAAGAAGTGAGATATTACGTGGTGTTTATTTGTATAATATTGGAATGAATTATACTGCTGAACAATTAATTTTTATTGATAAATTTTCAAAGGATGAGAGAACACTCACCAGGTTATATGGTTACTCTCCTGTTAATACTAGAGCAGAAAAAAGTGTTGTTTTTATTAGAGGAAAGCGTTATACGATTTTACCTGCATTGTCTTTAGAAGGTTTTATTGCTGTTGATATTATGGAAGGAAGTTGTGATAAGGAAAGATTCCAAACTTTTATTTTAACACAATTGGTAAATATTTTATTATATTATTTTTATAATTAAATTAATTGAATTTTTTTATTAATATTATTATTTATTTTAAATTAAGTTACCTCAAATGAATCCATATCCAGCTAAACATAGTGTATTGGTTATGGATAATGCACGTATACATCATAATGATGATTTAGTTGCAGCAGTAGAAGAAATTGGTGGTAGAGTACTTTATTTGCCTCCCTATTCACCAGATTTTAATCCTATTGAAACGGCCTTCTCAGCATTAAAGTCTTGGTTAAAAAGGTACAGAGATTTTGTAGATTATTTTGATCCAATATATTTAATTTTAGTTGCATTAGCTCAAATTACACCAGAAATGGCAAAAAATTATTTTGAAAAATCGGTTTATATATAAAATAAAATATAGTTTTTATTTTTTGTAAATAATGTTTATAATTATTAGAATTACAAATTAAAATATTAAGAATATATTATTTATAATATTGCTAACTTTATTTATTAGAAATTAATCAAATTATATTATAAGTTTATAACAAAATATATACAAAAAATCATTCATATTTTTTTGCTTCATCACGTAAAATTTGCCTACGTCCAATAATTGTTACATCCATTAAAATATATTCAGAATCTGATAATCTTGCAAGTTGATTAACAAGAATTTCTTGTTCTTCAAAAATAGATAGATAACAAGTAAATTTACCATCACCAAATTCTTGATCTAAATTTTTTAGAAAATCTTCTATATTCGGCACTATTTTTTTTATTGAACTATGATCTGATATTTGTGAATTAACTGATGTGCTATGATCTGATATTTGCGAAATTGAAGTTCTTCTTTGAATATTATAATCACAATCAGGATAATTATATGAAAATGGTGACGGAAAATACATTTGTTGAGAATATTGAGGATATGCTGTCATTGATTGAGGATAATTATCAATATTAGAAGAATCTTTTCTAGTTACCTTTACTGAATGCATCATACTAAATATAGCATGATTAGGAGGAGTATCCAAATCTGCATTTTTGTTTACCTATAATAAACGAATTTAATGTTATTAAAAATGTATTTATAATGATAATTCCAATACTAAATACACACAATTTCTTTGGCCCATAAACTAATTGCAAAATTTGTTAAAGATAAATGACGATCTTCTTTAATAAAACAACGTTTGTGATTCTGAATCTCACAAATATACTTATCATTTAATTTCATCACATATGATCCAACTAATGCTTCATTTTCATTTAAAGTAGCTTCTTTAGGTATACGTTTTTTGATATGTTTTTTTAATTGTTTTTTAGATTTGGTATTTTGATAAGCTTCATTTTCTGATTCATCATTAGATTCCTGTTCTGAAACTTCATTCTATAATATTATTAAAAATTTAATTGAATAATTAATATATACAAATAATTATTTTCAAAAATAAATACCTCATGTGAACGTTTTTTTGATAATTCTCTAAGTATAACAATAATTACTACTTTCTTATTTCCCGCTACTATACTTTGATAATCCTTTAGAAATTCATCAAATGCTTCTTCATTACCTAAAAGTGTTCCAGCTCCACTTTCTGAATGTGATTTATATGCTAAAGTATATTCATTTCTATAAACTAGTCCAACTTGTTCACAAATATATGATTCAAGTTTGTCTCTAAAATTAATAAAATTTGGATTATCTAAAGTAAAACTAATTATTACAAAAGGCAACACTTGTTTATTTTGTTTGATAGACATGCGCAATTTAAATTCCATTTGTAATGGTGTAGAAGGTAGAGAAGTACCATCCGTTGGTGAAGAAGGAATAACTATAATATTTTTTTTTTCTTTGTCAGCTGCTTTAACATTTCTGTTAATTTGACTATTACATGCTGAACAAAGTGTACAGTTATACGGCAGTTCTATATCCAGCTTATATCCATATTTTTGATTGCTATTTGATAAAGTGTTTTTTATTTTTTCATGTACTATGGCTGGCTTGTAAGTTAAGTTTCGAAAATTTGCTACTTCTTTAGTACGATTTTTTTTGGTTGGTTTGATGGATTTATCACAATTACAGTTATTTGATGTTAAGTCTAAACCACAATACATACACAATTGGCATGTAAAACAAACTCCAATTTGGTAGTTTCTTGGTGAAATAGAAGACATTTTTACGTGACGCTATAAAATTTTTTACGCGATATATTTTTAATCTTTAAATTTGATGCATAAGATCACAATGTTACACAAAATTCAAATTCGAATTTTTTTTTTTGATTATTTTGAAAATCGCATAATTTTGAAAATGGCGATAATAGTTAGACATGAATTTTAAACGTACTATACTTACACAAATTACAAAATTGATAGATTATCATGTGCTCTATCAATTTCTATCCTTACTTTCGGATTTTTAATAAAAAAATTTTTTTTTATATCTCACAAAAAACTCACTTAAAAAACACACTTTTTTCAAGATCTAAGTTGAAATATAAAGAAATATTCATATTTAAAAGCAAAAATATATGTAATTTTACGAGTAGGAAAAGATTTTCTAAGCTTATAATGGCAGTTATTTAGATAGCTTTTGCATAAAATATAAAAAAATACAAATTTATAATATCTTTAAAAATATATACAAATTTTATGGCGTAATTTTAGTACTTTGGCTATAAGTAAATCAATTTTATGTATTAAGTGATAATTGTTCAGCAAGGTCTAAAGTTGCCTGCCGAAACTCTACAGGCCATTGTCGAAATGTCGAAACTAAAACCTGTCGAAATGCCGAAATGCCAAAATAGTTTCGACATGTCGAAATTGTCGAAACCTAAAAATATTACGTTTCACGTAATAACTCGGCATCCAGTGATCGTAGAAAGACGATCTAACCACCATTCGACTCGTCGTTATGAGACGATTCCAACGAGCTATGGTGCATCTTTCTATGATCATTGGATGCCGAGTTATTACGTGAAACGTAATATTTTTAGGTTTCGACAATTTCGACATGCCGAAACTCCCTAATTTCGGCAGGCAACTTTAACTATATCCGGTTCTCTCAAAATTTCAAACATTTGAAATCTTACCGTCACAAAAGTTACAGCTAGCGCCTTTTTCCTTTGCATAATTACCCAATTGTATAATTTCGTCTTAGCTTCAGGAAAATAAGCTTTTCGGCCAGAATCCACCCGCATAGTATTATTTTTTATTTCACTTGTCCAACTTTCACTTGCCTTAACCCCAGTGTTGGACTATGACCTAAAATGACCTATATGACCTCTATAACTGGTCATAGGTCATTTGGTCATTTTAAAATTATCTAGTCATATGACTTTAGTCATATATTATTAACCAATCAAATTTTAGTAAATTTTTAATATTAGATTAATTAAAAGTATAATTCTGGCCAGAATTAAAGATCAGTATCAAAATTTCCTTTTTTGTAATAATTGTGTAACTTAAAATTCCAAATTTCATGAGAAATAAAATTGCCTTTTTAGGAAATTTGTGTAATATCATGTGATATAATTTTGCAAATTTTGTAATTTTGGCCAAAATTCTTAATTTCAGCCTAATTATGACCAAATGTCATATGACCATTAAGTCATAATACATATGACCAAGGTCATTTCAAAATTTTCATATGACCTGGTCATTGTCCATCACTGCTTAACCCAGCGTCCAACCATAGATTTGTCAAGGTCAAAATGTCTAGCTGCTTCATTTCTTCCACGTTGACGAGCATAGGTAACAACTACCTTTTTCTGTTCAATAGAATACGAAGTACGTTAACGTTTAATAACTTTTGGCATAGTGTATGAAACTTAAATTTTCAGAAGATATGAAGGTCACGTGAAAATTGTAAAGGTTGCGAAGTTGTTAAAGTCACGAAGTTGTAAAAGTCACATAATTGCTAAAAAACTCCTTATTATATCATTACGCAGAATTGCATCATTGTGAAACATTTTACAGATTTTTTCACCAGAACTTTTTTTTTGCAAAATTTTTTAACGAATTTTAAATTGATTTAAGACGTTTAAAAGACATTTTTCTAAAACTGTTAAAATTAAGCATTCCCCCAAACTTTTCGCACAAAATCCCTGCAAAAATGGGGTACTTAATATTGGAAAAATACGGTATTAGTTTTTTTTTATTTAATGAAACGTTGGCTAACATTTCAATTTTCTCTTTTTATAGGTTATTGGCTTTCCAAATATAATGGAATTTCAAAGGTAAAACTTCAAAATTTAAAATTTTTTTATTTTTTTTTATTTTATTTAACAAATGTTTACTGATGTTTGTTCTTATTTTTTGTAAGTCCAGAACACCAAAAGTACTCTGGATATCATTTCGAAGGTATAATCTTTGAAAGTTTTTAATTTTATTTAATGAAATGTTGATTAACATTTCATTTGTATTTTTTTTATAGGGTTTATAGGTCTATGGCTTTTCAGATATGAATTTCAAAGGTAAACTTTGAAATTCTTTAATTTTTTTATATATTTTTTAATTTAACGAATGTTGTTATCTAACGTTCATTTTTATATTTTGTAGGTCCAGAACACTGAAGTATAGTTCTGGACTCATTTTTGAAAGTAAAACCTTCAAAAGTTTATTTTTTTAATAAATTATTTGACGAACGTTAACTAATGTTCAATTTTTTTAGGTTCTACGACTTTAGACGGGTTTCTGAACAAAATTTCAAAGTAATATTCAAGGTAATTACTTTGAAATTCTTCTTTTACTTTTTTTTCAATAAACTTTACAAATTTTATACTAATGTTCATTTTTCCTTTATTTTTGTATAGATTTTTTTTCCATTTTGCTAATTGTTTGTTTGAATCGAACCAACTGGAACAAAGTTCCAAACTATTAACAACATGTAAATGTGCAGTAAAGAGATGATGAATAGCAATGACTAGTAATAGATTTTAATTGTATTTGTAAACTTGTTAATATATAATAAAAAAGTAATTTTGATTATATAAATAAATTAAATAAATTAGTAATTAATGCAATAAATTAATTTGTATTATTGTGACACAGATTTTTACTGAAAAAAATTGCTGAGGTATTTCAAAGGTTTTTTATTTAAAAATCTGTGCAGAACTTTGTTATTTATAAAATCTGTGCAGTTTTTTATTGGATTTTTCCTCTAATGTTTTGTGCCAGGGTATAAGATTTGCGTAGAAATAATTTCTGAAAATCTGCGCAGATCTGCACCCCAAAAAATTTTCCGATGAATGTAATACAATAATAATGACTTAATATTATGTAAATCAAATTTACACTTAATTTTATATGTATACATGATCAATTTTTTTTTGAAATTTTGAAATCAATTTTTTTTTATTAAAATTAAAAAATTGCCAATCACAGTAATTTGAAAATGGCAATAATTATCAATAGTATTTGCAATAATTTATAATAATTATGTTAAACGTAATTATTTACAGGTACTTTTAATTAATTACAAAAACATTAACAATTACAATTAATATAATTATTTACATTATATATAATTAATTACAAAATACATAATTATTTATATATTTTAAATTACAAATTACATTTTTAACTGATGATTTACCTGGTCATATATAAAATAACAATTCAAAATATAGTGGCAGATCAAAGATTACAACTAATTAATATGATTTGATGCAATATTTAGTTGTCCAATTTTGCCATCAATTGGTTCTGCCTTAAGAGTTTAGGATCTAAAATATGCTAAAAAAACTTGTTAAATGTAATTATATCTGATGCACAAGTTTATTACTTAGAAATTCAATAGCATATCTCTCAATGTTTGGATTCTGTAGTATATAAACAAGATATTGTAAAACTTGACCATCAAAATAATGGTGCTATATATAAAGTTTTTTTGTTTATCAAATTTATAAACTGGAATATTCAGATGAAAAAATATGTGAATTTTTGTTTTGCTATTTATATTTGGTAAGTTTTATGAAATTATTTAAATTACTTTAGTAAATACATCTAATTAGAATTTTTATACATTAAGGTGAACTGGTTGATTATTATCTTAATTGACAAATTAGTCTATTAGAACATATTAAAATGGCTATGATATCATTTTTTTTTTTCTATAATTATGTCTATTTTTTTTTTTAAAACTCACATTAGACACATTTATTTTCCACCAATTTTTGATGAAAAAATTATTCAGAAATCACACTTCAGGTGATGTATGTTAGAACGAAAGAATGCATTTGAATTTAAATTAAAAACTAAAAGATTTATATATGTTATATTAATTAATCGTAAGTTGAATTAAGTAAATTACTACCTATTATATATCTAAGTATTTACCGAATTTAGCAATATTTTGAGTAGACCACTATTTAAGTAAAATAAATGACAAAATAATTAATAATTAAATATAAATAATGCCAAAAATAACTAATTAGATTAAGTATTCGTCAATATTATCATTGTTTTCGTTATCAAACTTCTAAAACTTCATCTTCCAATGAGTCAACTTTTATTCTTCTTTTACATTCTTCAACTTCCCATTCCCAATTAGTTGTTATTACAGCTGTAAATATACCAATTCCCATAAGAATAGACCCACCGGTAACACCTGACCATAGTCCAACTAATTCAAAATTAAATTTAAACGCTAATAAAAGTCCAACTGGTAACGCAAATTTATAATATGCTGATAAATAAATTATAGATATAACCTTTTGCCTCCCTTTAATAAATGAAATATAGATCAGATATATTCAGAAATGTATATTTAATAAAAAAAAGAAAGAAATTCCGATAAAAACCTTGTCCCCTCAATATTCCTCCACCTATAATACCTATCGCATCTGATGGCTTTAATAGAGTAATTTTTTTTTAAATATAAGCATCTAATAATTTAATCACTTAATCAGCTATTACTGGAATACATACTTGAAATAGTGCGCAAAGCGGCAAAATTGTTGCGGTTAATTTTATAACTTCTTCTTTATTTGTAAATAAGTACCTAATAATTAAGAAAATATTTAACCATCAGTGAAATAAAAGAAACTAAAGAAATAATACTGTACAACATAAGATCACCTTCTAATAATGCAGTGATTTCCACTTCATTTATAACATTTACCCCAATGAATCCCTGAAAATTAATATTCCCGTTGCACTACAGGTAGCACTTATAAATGCAAGAATTAAAGAAATATTGACAGTAATTTTTGCTTTACTTATCAATCCTTCTCCTAATAAATTACCAACCCTATTTGAAGTTGCTACCGAAATACTTCTTGGTAATTGAAAAAATAAAAGTACAATGGTAAGAACTAAACGATGAGCTGCTAATGATATACTCCCAAAATAGCCTGAAGCCAACGCTATTAATTCATAAATCCACCAATCCGCACAAGCCGTCAAAATTCCGGGAATGGCTAATCTCATGAAAGATGACCAGTCATCAAGACATGTACGCGTCCAACCACCCCACGCCTGGTGGCCATTAATATACTTAATATAAAGGATGCTAAAAATTAACATTAACCAATTAGAAATGTTTATCGCTATTGGTGCACCAATAAACCCAAGGGCTATTGGTTCCCACCAAACTAGCGCGTAATTTAAAACAATGCTAATTGGGCTAATAATTATAAGAACATAAGACGTAGCATGCATAATGCCTTTATTCGATGGAAATTATTATTAACATAAACGTATAAAATATAATATAATGAATTACAAGTATTATGAAATTAATATTTTACCTTGTCCTTGTAAAAACTTTTCGACACACCAAAAAATAAAAGTGGCTGGAGCACCCAAAATTGACCAGCGTAAAAATTTTTGCGCGTATGCTGATGTTTCTTCATCTTGGCCTAAATAAACCAGAATTGTTCCAGATTCCCACCAGATGAAACTTACCGGGATGAACCCAAGAAGAATAATAATAATGGCACGTTGTAAGTACACGCCAACCATTTTCGGGTTCCCAGATGTGTAACCCTGTGGGCACAAAGTGTCTAAAGCAGAAATTGCGCCATAAAATATGGAAATTCCGGTTACTGAAGCAAACTAAATTAGCGAATTAAAGAGAGAAGATCAATTCCTAATCTATTTACTATTTATAAATAAACAGAAAATCCATGTACACTTAAATTGTCAAAGACTCTAACTCACCATTGAACCTAATGATAATGCTGCCAACTCTACATATCCCTTATAGATAATAAAACTAAGATTATTTAATGTACATAAGTAATAAATAATTGTCACAAAACATACCTTGTGGCCCAATGTAAAAACACTTGCGACCGAAAAAACATATTGTAAGGACGAAGCAAAAAAAACTGGAACAGCTTTCCGAATAATGTAAAGTGCTTCGTCCAATTTATAGATTTGAGGTGCAATAACTTTATTTTGTTCAAGTAACAATACTGTTGTTTCGTCTGCATTTTCTCGTAGTTCTTCACTTGAAGTTGACATATTGTTATACAAAAATTATAAGTAACACTTATAATTCTTTTTTTGTTCGCACGAAGACACAGTATTCTTTTTTCGTTTGAAGAAAACACAGTCCTAGCTCAATACGGAGAAAATGGGTAGGACGATTTATACAATGAAATTTATCCGATCGAAGATGCATTAACTATTAGGCACGTGCGGATAACCTTGTGATTGGAAAATGATGTCAATCATTATTAAATACAAGTTACGCAGCTTAATTTTTTTAGAAGTTCATAGGCGCATGTTAATCAGCATCCTGACCAAATTTGAATTTGATGTAACTTTATTTCGTTTCACATAGAATCCGAGATGGGAAAAGGCTGTGTAAAGACCATCTCTTGGGGTTTCTCTTATAATGTCGTAGAAAAAGAATCAAAATATTTGTGTTGTTTAAACCTGTTTCTTTTCCGCAGTATTAAATAATTAAAACAGGCTTTTTCAAAAAATTAAATGTTAATACTTCGAGTTGTTCCGACTTCAACACATTCATTGAAATTGCAAAAAAATATCTTCATTTCCTTTCTTTTATCTTAATTATTTCATTATTATCGGAATTCTTTTCAATTTTTTTTTCGTAATAGTTCATAACTGAGCTTTTATGATTATTTTCATCTTTATCGTTGTCTTATTTATTTAATTATTTCCATTTTAGTATTCATTTTAATTTCTAGTCCCAAATTCATTTTGTTTACGGACATAATTTTCAAATGAAAATTGTGTCATTGATAATTTGTCCAAAGTTGTGGTGATCTTTATTAAAGATAAAAATTGCACGTGGTATGTATATGTAAAATATCCCCTGATTTTCCGATAATTCTTTAATATTACTATCTTTTACTGTTACTTAGTACGTCATCCGTAATGACCGATCAACACCCCTTCAAAAGAACAACCGACGTAAATAAATCAAAAGAAGTTCATTACTCTCCTTATTTACCGCCTGAAACTTTGGGTGAAATCTTTTCCTTTTTTGCAGATGATGATGTAAAATCATTACATTCTTGTCTTCTTGTTAATAAAACATGGTGCGAGAGTGCTGCTTTTATCTTATGGAAACGACCATTTGATATTTCTTCTATAATGGCATCTTCTGAACTTGTTAGTGTATATTTCTTATTCTTCTCTGACGAAAAAAAAAAGTCTTTATTAACATCGGTTCCAAATGGATTATCACATTTATCATCTGATAGACCAGCTTTGAATTATTTATCGTATCTGAAATATGTAGATTTTAAGAAGGTATATAAAGCTGTTAGAATGTGGTTGAGAACCAAAACTTTACTTGAGCCATTTTGTTCGGAATTCAAAAGGAGGCAAATAGCTTTAACAAATAGAATCGTTACGGAGTTAGGGAGAATTTTTACAGCAGGATATGCAAGATTAGATCGATTATCATTAGACATAAGATATTTTGAATATAATCCTAAAGATGACGAAGTTGATTGTTTATCTTGGCCATGTTATCCTGGAGCATGCGTTTCATTATCAGATCTTCGAGAATTCTTATGTGGAGGTCAATTTATGAAGAATCGTATCTTACTTAGCATGGCTGAAATATGCAAAGACATTGAAATACTTAGTATTCATGAATCTGCAGAAACATCACCTGAAATGCTGGCAGAATTTATTAAGGCTCAAAGAAGGTTAATTAAGTTTACACTTACAAACTGGTCAAGTGAAATTCTTGAAATTTTATCGTCACTAAGAAAACAAGCAAGAACTTTAAAATATATGGAATTAATAAGGTGTATTTTTCCTAGAAATGAGGATTACACAAAATTATTTCGTGGTTTAGCAGAATGTCGTAATTTACAAACATTAAAACTTGAACAATGTCAACATTTAAGTACAAAATTGATGAAACCATTAGCAGAGGCCAGTTTTGAAAAATTACAAACTTTTATAATTGATACTGAAGCAGTTTCAGACCCTCCAACAACAGAAATTAAGGCTATTATACAAAATTCCAGGGAATCCCTAATAAATATAGGATTAAATGTTAATTTATCATTATATGCTGATATAATGGAAACAATTGCAACATTTTGTCCAAATTTACTTAATTTAAGTGTTACAATCGAAAGAGACTCCGAAATGCAACAGTTAATTACATTATTTAGATCTTGTACAAATCTTGTTGAATTAAAAATACCAAAAAAATGGAAATTATTTGAAGTAAAAAAGTCTTTAGTTGAATTAGGAACTGCTTTACCATCCACATTAAAAAGAATAGAATTAGACGGATTAAAATTTAGTCATGAAACATGGGAAGAATTCTTAGATATGTGTCCTGGATCTATAAATCATTTTGCATTTAATTGTTTTAGTAAATCAATATTTGTTAAAATTGTAGAGAAATATGGGAAAAGATATAGCAAATCAATAAAAAATGAAGAGATGTTGGACCAAACTTGGTTACCTGTACAAGTAACTGTAGATTTAAATAATTAAATAATATTGAAATAAAGGTTTGTGTCAATTTTATAATAAAAAATGGTTGGTTTTCTTAAATTAACTGACTAATATGTCATTTTCTTTACCTTTAAACCATATTTAGAATGCAAAGAAAACTTGTACAATTCACAAATCTTTATGAAAGAAAAATTATAATTTATTGTTTTTAACTTATATGTTTAAATTATTGTTAAGTTATTTAATTATAGATTTTTTTACAGAAACTCCTTTTACTGTATATTATAATTTCATTAATACAGTGTAAAAGAATAATAATACCTTTCCTTACTTTCTTATTATTCTAGTATTTTATATTATTTTATATATAATTTACAATGATTAATTAATTTCATTGTAAATAAATGAATTTTTAATATAAAAATTATTGTTTTTACTTTTGCTATATTATTTATTAAAACAAAAAATTATAATAATTTTAAGTAAATTAAAATAGTAGTTTATTAATATATAAATCATAATTCAAAAGTATAAATTTATATTTATTAAGTATTTTTTTTTTATATATACAAATGATAATGATATTTATTATGATATTTAAATAAAAAATTAACTAAGTAAATTAACTAAGTATAACCACAGGTGATTATTACCTAACCAAAATCACATGATCAATATAATATGACATCATTTTTAATAGTTAATCAAAATTAGATTATTTATACTAATTCCTACATTTCTTTCGTTTTAGTTGTTCTTCTTTTCTTTTACTATATTATATATACAATGGAGTATAAAAACCATAATCCTATAGTTGAAAGTGATAAAGATAATTCTATATTAAATAGTAACGAAGGTGAATATTATGATACTAAATTACTAATGTAGAAATTACATTATGTCCTGGTATGCAATTTCAGTTATAGGAAAAATTAGAAATCCACCTTAATATTTATATTCTTCAAGAAGGTTTTTCTTATAAAAAAAATAAAACTTGAATATTACATGAATCTAGTGGCATAGCCATTCCGATTTTTTGAAAAGATTAATAATATTTGCAAAAGAATTTTTTAACATCATATATACTTTCAACTAAGGTTGCTTGTCTAAACCTCTTCAAAATCCTATGATTAGTTTCGTCAAAATTTTACTATAGATTTATTATAGTTTCGGCAGAGTTTCGGCAGTTTCGGCATTTATAATAAGTTTCGGCAGTTTCACCATTCTCCAAAGTTTCGCCAGTTTTTTAATATAACTTTAATATAGTTTTGGCAGAATTTCGCTTTTTGGCGAAACGCCATCTTGCCTAAACCCCTAGGTTTCGGCAAGCAACCTTACTTTCAACAGTTCAAAACCAAATGAAACAAATTTTTCTTTTTTATAATGCTTTAAAAATATATAAAACAGGTATAGAGTAATTGATTATTTAATAACATGGTATTAAGATTAGGATGTTGGATTAGGGTTAGGATTAAAGTGTAGGATTTAGTTAGAATTAGGATTAAAGTGTGAAATTAGGGTTAAGGTGTGGATTAGGATTAGAATTAGTTAAGGTTAGAATAATTAGAGTGTAAAATTGTATGGAATTAGAATATAGAATTAAAGTTAAGATTAGGGTTTGGAATTAAGGTTAGACTTAGCATGTTTATTATTTCTAACTTTATTTATTTATTTATTTATTTTAATTTTTAATTGATGGTTCAACTTGCAAAAATGGATTCTGGAAATATAATTATGAAATTAAACTAATTCTACTTAAAAATTTAATTGAAAATATGCTATTAGATTCTATTGTAGAAATTTGGCAAATTAAGCTTGAATTATTACCAATACATTCACAGTTCATCATTTATTTATACCAGTATGAACGTCTACTAAAACTGTATCAAAGTGAAAGAGAACCATAAAAAATAATAAGGAAAACAAAGAAAATCAAAGTGTTAATATAAATGATAGCACTCTGAAAAAATTACAAAACTGTAGAGGTTTTATTACGAAATTGCAAGATTCTTAGTGATAAAAATTGATGTTATATTATATGTAAATAATTAATTTACTTTATTAGATATTATAAATAAATTTTATTGTATATGTCATATCAATAATAATTCAATTATGTGATATACTGGAGGTGATATCACCTGCGGTTATAATTAGCAATTTTCTTTAAATAAATTCTTTTTAATAACAAAAGTTTAAAATTTTTTTAAAAAAAATCAGCTTTTTATTTATTATAATAATGAAAAAAATTCCTTCTATTATCTTATTTATAATCTGCTAATTGTGCCTAAATAATATAATTATATTATTTAAATATAATTGAATTAGATTAGGTTATTTAATTATAAGAAAATTTTTATTTTATATCAGGAAATACCAGTATCTTTAAGACTCCGCTTACTTATAATAAAGGTCACTGTAATTCTAAGGTGAAATCATTAAAAAAAAAATTTTAATGATCCTGCTACTATAAATAGATAAATTATATCTAAAAAAGAAAATATTACACTGCATTATTATGATTTTATTCATTTTAAATCAATTAACCAATAATATTAAGAATTGGAGTAAGATAAAATTACTAGTAAATTTGAAATTTTTCTTTATTAGAAGTAAGCGGAATTCTGTATTCTTCCCCAAATTTAAACTCTGATTTTTAAAATATTCAATTTCTGATTAAAAATTTTCTTTACAAACGCTTTTTATTTTTTAAAATATTCAAATTCTTACTTAAAAATTTTCTTTACAAACACTTTTTATTTACAAACTTCTTAATAAAAAATAAAAATGCAAATTGATAAAGTAACAAATGAAAAAATAATGAAACATAAATTTTAGATTGTACTAATTATATGTTTGATTCAACCATTAAATTTTCTTGATTAAAATAAGTATCGGCTATATCGCCATCTTTATTGTTCTTTAAAGGACAATTTTGGCTCATAATACCAAAATTTGCATATGCCACATTTAGTTGCTGCTTGTTTTTCTTTTTTAACTTTTATACCTTCAAAATCAATATTAAATACCAATCAGAATCCTCCTGTTGTAATTTCATAAGATGTTTATATAAAATTACACATCAGTTTTGAATTTGTGTATCATATTATAAAGATCTTAATGATAAATTTCTTAATTTGGAAATTTTTTTCTTAAAATTTGGTTTAAAATTGTAGTACCTAACTGACAAATTTGAACTAAAAAATGAACCTCTTCTTTTACATCAACAGGTATTTTACACAAAGATGAAACAAATTGATGAAGTAATTCTTGACTATTTAATATATAATTATGTTTTTTAACAAATTTGTTAATAAAAACTAAATTTAAACATTTTCAATATGAAGCATTTAATATAAAATCACATTCTACACAAACTGATTCTCACTCTTGATTTTCTGTAGGATTAAGCCTTTTTTTAAATTCATACTTACTTCTATGATAACATTTGTAAGTTTTTCAAGCATATACATCATCTTCTTTTCAACACAAATGATTTTTATTTTAAATCCCATTTGAGTTGCATATCATTTTAAACATCATTCAAGTATGTCCAATAAAATAAAAGTTTGCCAAATATCTACTATACAATTCTTTTAAAGGACTATCTTCAACTTTATCTTTAAAACCATTACATTCAAATAAATTAATCTCATCTTTAAATGGTAAATCAACTGATGGATTTTTAAAGTCAAGATTGTTGATCTTTTCAAACATCTAAAAAAATCAAAGCGTAAATAATTAGTATATAATCCTATAGCAAACATACCTAATCTTAACCCTAAATAATCACATAACCAATATATCTTAATCTTAACTTTAGCCCTAATTAACTCTAACCCTAATCTTAACTCTAATCTAACTCTAAGTAATTTTCTAACCAATACATCTAACTCTAACCTTAAGCAATTCTATAGCCAACACAATTCTCACTTACCATGTATAAAGATTATTAAATTTTCACATTTGGAAAAAGTTGTTCATGAAATTGTATTCAAGTGAAATTTCACGTTTGGGTAAAGTTTATGAAATTGTGTTTAAGTAAAATTTTCACATTCAAGAAAAGTTCATGAAATTGTGTTTAAGTATATTTATTAAATAAGAAAGAATATTTGTCAAAAAGTTTACATTTTAAATAAAAAGAAAAATAGTTTTTACATAAAAAAAGTTTTATTCAAATATAAAAAGAGTTTATTGTATATATTATAAATCAAAAAGTCTAAATTATAATATTATACAATGATCAGTATTACGAAATTAGTGTACAAATCATGTATTTTGAAATAAAATACTGGTATCCTCTAGTATAACATACATTTTTTTTAATTATAAAACAACTTAATTATAATCAAAATAATTTAATTGTAATTAAATAACTTAGGCTAAACTAATTTGATTATCTGTTTTACATTAGTTGTTTATAAAAATTCAGGAAGAGAAGGAGGTTGAATAAAAAAAAAAAATTTTTATGAAATCATGTGACTTTTATATACTGTATAAGTCATATATATACAACCAATTTATTATTATTATTATGATTATTATTATTATTATTGTATATATAACAAAAAAAAAACTAATCAACATGATTGACCTTTTGCTTTTTTCTACTATTAACCTTATTTTTCAACTGTTTATAAAATGTTTTTTTTTTTTTGAAAGAACTTTTTCTACCGATCGCATAGACCATTTTTTTATGAAATTTCAGCAATAATATTTTGAAGAAAAATATAAAAAATATGGCCTCTACTGCAACAAATATTACTTTTGAGGATATTAAAACACTCCTTAGCCTCTTTAACAATGAGACATTCTATACTTTACTGGAAAAAATGCTGCAAATTCTTCGTTTTACTAGCATAACTGGGTCGCTCAAATCCTTGAAGAAATAGAACCTGCTACATACAAGTATTTAAATAATCTCAAGAAAACTTTTACTGACGAACTCCAAGAAGTTGGTGTAGATGACTATGACAGCTTTCTTTTTCTTTTCTATACCTTCAAAGATATGTGAGCTATGCTTCTCACAGGTCGAACAGATGTCATTATCGCAAAATTTGCCTGGAATTTTTCTGGCAAATTGAGAATTATCCCGGTAAATTGGGGTAAATTGTGTTACAATTTTGGAATAATGGAGGACTTACAATTTGGCAAATTTTGTCAAAATGGCAGTATTCCTACAGAATTCCTAATTCAAATGTTGAGAAATTTTTCAGTAAATTATCATTAAATTGTGGGAAATTTTAGGCAAATCTTTAGTAATGATATGCAAACGAAGTGCAAATTGTGGTGAATTTGTCTCTTATACACATCTAGATGTGTATAAGAGACAGGTATTAAATAATTAAAACAGGCTTTTTCAAAAAATTAAATGTTAATACTTCGAGTTGTTCCGACTTCAACACATTCATTGAAATTGCAAAAAAATATCTTCATTTCCTTTCTTTTATCTTAATTATTTCATTATTATCGGAATTCTTTTCAATTTTTTTTTCGTAATAGTTCATAACTGAGCTTTTATGATTATTTTCATCTTTATCGTTGTCTTATTTATTTAATTATTTCCATTTTAGTATTCATTTTAATTTCTAGTCCCAAATTCATTTTGTTTACGGACATAATTTTCAAATGAAAATTGTGTCATTGATAATTTGTCCAAAGTTGTGGTGATCTTTATTAAAGATAAAAATTGCACGTGGTATGTATATGTAAAATATCCCCNATTTTTAGTAATGTTATATAAATTGTTGAAAATTTAGGTGAATTTTTCAGAAATGTTGTGCAAACGTAATACAAATTGTAGAAAATTGTGGTGAATTTTGCATTTTTTCGGTAAATGTTGGCTAAACTTTTGATAATTTAGTGAAATTTAGGATAATTTTGGACAATTGAGTGAAAATGTTTTACTGATTTCGGACAATTGAGTGTAAACAGTATAAACACTACATTTTCGGAGACAATTTAGTGAAATTTTGCAATAATTTCGGACAATTGAGTGAAATTTAGTAATAATTTTAAACAACATCAGGAATTTAAACACGGCATAATGTTCTGTAAGTTTACGGATTTTCGTAAAATTACGTATATTTACGGCATAATGTTCCGTAGATTTACAGATTTCCGTAAATCTACATAATTTTACGATCAAAATATTCCGAAATAATACGTGATCGTAAATGTTTCGAAGCATTACGGTCAAAATATTCCGTAATAATACGTGATCGAAAATGTTCCGAAGCATTACGATCGAAATATTCCGTAATAATACGTGATCGAAAATGTTCCGAAGCATTATGATCGAAATATTCCGTAGAATTACGTGATCAAAAATATTCTGAAGCATTACGATCGAAATATTCCAAAATAATTCGTGATCGTAAATGTTCCGAAGCATTACGATCAAAGTATTCCGTAGAATTACGTAATCGAAAATATTCCGAAATATTACGATCAAAATATTCCAAAATAATTCGTGATCATAAATGTTCCGAAGCATTACGATCGAAGTATTCCATAGAATTACGTGATCGAAAATGTTCCAAAGCATTACAATCGAAATATTCCATAGAATTACGATATCATAAATGTTCTGAAGCATTATGATCAAAATATTCCGTAGAATTACATGATCGAAAATGTTCCGAAGCATTACGATCAAAATATTCTGAAATAATTCGTGATCGTAAATGTTCCAAAGCATTACGATTGAAATATTCCGTAGAATTACGATATCGTAAATGTTCCGAAGCATTATGATCGAAATATTCCGAAATAATTCGTGATCGAAAATGTTCCGAAGCATTACGGTCAAAATATTCCGTAGAATTACGATATTGCAATTGTTCTAAAGCATTACGATCAAAATAATACGTGATCGTAAATGTTCTGAAGTATTACGGTCAAAATATTCCGTAATAATACGTGATCGTAAATATTAGCCCTGTTCATTTCCGGTTGGATGCATTTTTCAGTCGGATTTTGTTGTACAAAAATTATCCAATAAAATTTTTTTATTTTCGATCGCAAATTGAACTGCTTTAGATTGAAATTTAGTTCAAACTCCTTATATTGATATGTATTTCCTGTAACTGATTTTGTTAGGATTAAAAAGGAAATTATAACTTATGTCTTTTTCTTAAATATCACGTAAACAGAAATTATCTAATTTTGGTTGGTTGTTTTTGGTATTCAAAACGGGCTAAAAGTTCAGAAAATGGTTGCATTGTATGCTGAAAAATGCGATCGACCGGAAATAAACAGGGCTATTTTGAAGCATTACGGTCAAAATATTCTGTAATAAATTCAATAACTTATATTACGCTACGTAACTTATCATATCTGGTAATTCAAGTTTCTAAAATAATCATTCTTATTTATTACAATCGTAATATTTTACATTTACACAAAATAAAGTGGCCAACTACATAATGATCAAATATATTTTACCTGAACATGTATTTATTTATTGATTTGAAAATTATCTCCTTTATTAAAATAAATGGGATATTAAAATATATGGGGGGATATTAAAATATAAAAAATATATGCGTAGTCAATTATTATTTTATTTTTTATATTGTTTTTTTAATCGCCTCATTCTTTCTTTTGTCTTTTTATCCGTACTACTTATATAAATTCTTCCGCCTTCCTCCTCGTCTTCTTCTCTTATTTCGTTTTCTTCCTCTTCTTGTAATACTTCTTCTGCTTCGTCAGCTTCTTCTTCTACTTCATCAACTTCTTCTGCTTTATCAACTCCTTTGTTTGTCTCTTCAGCTTCTTGGGAAGCTTCTATTTCGTCATTATCGGAATATGAATAATTATCCTTAATTGTAATTTTTTTCTAAGAAGTAAAACAAAATTAGTTTTTAAATATTACTATTTATTCAAATTTCTAATGCTTACAAATTCTTCGTTAAAACGGGTTTTATGACAGATTCTGTCACCTGTATATGCAAATTTTTCAGATTTAATATAATTTTACAAATACTTATTGCATATGCAATTTGCATATTAGATAATTGATTTCTGCCTTTAAGTATTTGTAGGATTCTCGACATATATGTCTCTGGATCTGGATTCTTGATTTTTTTGAATAAATTACCATAACAAATTTTTACGGTTGGACTCCCTTTCCATTTGCGTATCTCGCTTCCTTTTAATGCCGTGTTTACGGCAGGGATTGTGGGAAGGTTAAATTCTTTAAAAACGACATACATTATGTCTTTCACTTTAGAAGCTAAAGAACCCCGAGCACTACGATGTTTAGCTAGAAGCTAAAGAAAAGATTTTAAATTTAAATTTCAATAAATTAATGTAAAATCGTAATTTTTCAAAACTTACAGGAGAAGCAATGTTTTTTTCATAAAATATAATCCATTTATCATATCTTTTAAACCATTTGATAAAATCATCGTAATTTTCATTCATATAATTATTAGTGAACTCTCGAAGTTCATCAGGGGTAGGATATATGGAAACTTCAAGTAACTTTTTAGCAACTTCTTTGATTATTTTCTATAATCAAGAATATAATAATTTAATGAGGAATTACTACTAAATGTTCAACCATGATTTACGTAAATATTTGTATTTTTGGGTCTTACCTTTATATATTCTTCATACCCTTGATTATTATCACTATTTTTATTGACCGATTCTTCTACTTTCGATACTCTGTTTTCTAAAGCCTTTTGGTTAGAAATAATTATATCCAGTTTGGATAAAATTTTTATATTCTGGCGCAATATTTTCGTTAAAGCTTCTTTTATAACAGTAGAATATAAATAATATAAATAATAATATATTAGTAATAATTATCTTTATTTTTCAAAAATATATAATTTAACCAACCATTAATTAATTCATCGGCATCGGCAGATTCATCAGTTTTTCAGCGTTTGTCAACATGCTCTACTGTTTCCGTATTTTTTTTTTTTTATTATTATTATTTTTGTCCATTGAAAAAATGAAGTTACCGAGAAAAAAAAAGAGAAATTTAACGAATAGAAGAGAAGAAAGGAGTTTAACGGATAGAGTGAGAGAGAAAAGAAAGGGGTTGGTTAATGG